TCGTTTCATGAACTCTTCTCTAGACAAGTTGGCATCATATCTAGAAGAATTTCCAAATTTGCTATCGCAATTCCGTGGAATTCCAGAAGAACATTTTCAAGTATTAACCAAGAAAGGAGTGATGCCCTATGATTACATCGACTCATTTGAACGCTTCAACGAAACTCAGCTACCACCTATCGAATCCTTCCACAATAAACTGAAAGATGAGCCCTGCCCACGCAGACACTACCTTCGCGCCAAGCAGGTATGGTCAAAGTTCAATTGTCAAGACTTGGGCCAATATGTTGATCTATACATGAAGACCGATATCATGCTGTTGGCCGATGTTTTCGAGAAGTTTCGATCTAGCTGCCACAATACCTACGGTCTGGATCCTGCCCATTATTTCACACTACCAGGATACACGTGGGATTGTATGTTGTATAAAACTGGACAAGAGTTGGAGCTTCTCACTGATGTGGATATGTTTTTGTTTGTCGAAAGAGGAATTCGAGGAGGCCTCAGCCAAATTTGCTCAAAACGTCGAGCTAAAGCGAACAACAAGTTCATGCCTTCCTATGATCCCACGAAGCCTGATTCATACTTAATGTATTATGACGTAAACAACCAGTATGGATGGGCTATGTCTCAGGCGTTGCCATATGGAGGCTTTGAATGGGTTGATACCAACATAGATGTAACTTCAATTCCTGATGACGCTTCAGAAGGATACATATTGGAGGTTGACCTAGAATATCCTAGACACCTCCATGATTCCCACAAAGATATACCATTCTGCCCCGAACACATCAACCCGAAAACTATGAAACCTCCGACAAGATCTTCTCAGCCCACCAAGCTGATGGCAACCCTACGCTGCAAGGAGAAGTACGTCCTCCACTACCGAGCCCTCAAACAAGCGCTGGAGCATGGGTTGGTCCTGACCAAAATTCATCGCGTCCTCAAGTTTCAGCAATCAATGTGGCTGAGATCATATATAGATCTGAATACTTCTTTGAGGACTGCCGCAACAAATACATTTGAGAAAAATCTCTATAAATTAATGAATAATGCTGTTTTCGGTAAGACTATGGAAAACATACGAAAGAGGGTCAACGTTAGACTTCTAACGGAGTGGGTGGGGCGATATGGTGCTGAGGCCTATATTTCAAAACCAGAGTTCAAAAACTGTACCATTTTCAATGAGAATTTGGTTGCAGTAGAGCTCAGGAAATTGGAGATATGGTTGAACAAACCCATTTACGTTGGTCAGACCATTCTCGATCTAGCTAAAACAACCATATACGATTTTCATTATGGATACATGTCCAAAATATTTGGTGATGATTGTAGCGTATGCTACACCGACACAGACTCGCTCATCTATGAGCTTCATAAAAATCCCTATGAAGTCATGAAGCGAGATTGCCATACCCACTTTGATACTTCAGACTATCCTGAAGATAACATCCATGGCATACCACTTGTTAATAAGAAAGTACTGGGAAAAATGAAGGATGAGTGCAATTCTGCCATAATGACCGATTATGTGGGACTCCGATCCAAATTATACTCGACGAGGGTGCTGGTAACTGATGATGATATTGCAAAGAAGAGGGCAAAGTTGCACGCGGATGATTATGATGAGGATGAAATCAATGAGATCATAAGGAATATGGGTGTTACAAAGAAAGCTAAAGGTGTGAAATCGTCTGTAGTTGAAACGAATATTACTTTCGAAGATTATGTTAAATGTTTGGAAACATCTGAACATATGGAGGTTTCTCAAAATTTCATCAGAGCTCAAAAACATGTCGTATTTTCAACCACCCAGCAGAAGATAGCATTGAGCGCGACTGATGATAAACGATACTTGATTCCTGGTACTACTGAAACTCTACCCTGGGGCCATCATTCAATTCAATCAGCACTGACGTCAGATGATGAAACAATGGAAATATAAAATTGAAATGTACATATTATGTGAAAAATAAATTATTTCAATCGACATCTTTAGTATCCTATCCAACATGTTCGCAAGTAGTTAAAAGTAGGCCTCGAGAGGGGGAAGTTTCTTCTACTCAAAATAAAGGAATTAACGAGGCTGCAACCCAAACCTCATGTCGCACTCAGCATGCTCAGTGCGCTTTCTGTGTGGGTGTTTCCGCGCGAATTTCCATGAAATTCTAGATTTCCATGGGGGATGTGAATGTGCACTTAGGATGTTGGGTACGCTAAGGTGGCCTGGAATTTGGGTTTGTACATTCGATTCGCCCTGTATATACGTTTCATTTGGAACCGCACTCAGATTTTTCAAAAGTCACACCTCACAACTGGTCTGCGGTTCTTCAATTCCCTGCCCTCAGATATTAAGGAAATATCATCTCTCGTAAAATTCAAAAAAAAAGTGAAGGATTATCTGCTGGAAAGAAGTTTTTATTCTGTGAAGGAATTTTTGGAGACAAAAATCTGAAGTGAGGTGATTGTATCTGTATTTTTGTATTCGTATTTTATTTTTAATGTGATTGTATTTCAAATGTTTACCTCCAATCATAGTTTTTAGATGTTTTGAATGTTAGACCCATTTTATCTTTATGTCAATATTTTAACTTTTATGTGTTTGTATATTCTCTTTATAATAATTTTATAGAACTTTTTTTTGACGATTCCTATATCATTTTCTGTATGATCAATTCAAGGAATAAATACATTATTATTATTATTATAATAAATAATACATTCTCTATCGATATAACAGGATGCATGCGATATGCGTTATCGTTTATGTACAAATTCTCTTCTAGTCTTGAAACTACGTAACTACACTTTTTACCTACAGTTGTTGATTGAATCGATCACATCAGTTTGATTTCACAGCATGTTTTCTTTTGCTGAGTGCCAGTGTTGTGAAAAATGTGTATGTGAAAATGCTGGATTTCTGCTTCTCAGATTGATCCCAGGTATTTATATAGTCTTACTCGAAATGCATTGTATACGAGATGGTGTTTTTTTGGAATGAGTATTAATTTTCATTACATCAATATGATACACAGCCTAAGGTCCCCATGATATCAGAATTCTTATAATCAACGAGGAATTTCATCCACTGAATAAAAAGTGAGAGAGAAATCAAGTATACAACAATTTAAATGATTATTGTCATGTTATGATTGTGCCTTTCGCACAGAGGCGTCGCCAGAATTGCTACAGTGCCGAAAAAGGGGTATAATCCTCCAAATTTCATTTTGATATCTAGATTTTATTTGTGTCATTCGATAATTCGATCAAATATTTGCATCTACTTCAATGCCGCCCAGTATATAGGGAAGTTAGATAATGGATATTTGTCTATAAGTCAAGGCCTATTATTTCTCTAACATTCCTTTACATTCCTCCGAGAGGTCGAACCTATAGTGACCGTTCATAACCTTCAACGTCCCTAAGCCTTATGAGTTTTATGCTATAGTGTTATTTGATATATGCTAACTGAGCGTCCCGTAGGGACATACGTTACACATATATTAAACGTTAATATGTTCGCTGGGTCCGCCTGTCAGTTCTTGCCTCCCCTGTATATATTTTTATTGCTATCCAAACACCCTGTACAATGATCGGAATCGTCAACTAGCGACAACTGTCACACTTTTGCTGAGTCCAACTTTCACTTGTTGCCACGAGTGCCCTATTGCTATTATTGCTGTATATCGAACGGATACTATATCATACGTATGTTTGCCACCCCGTGAGACGCCCTATTTCTTATCGCTATTGCTAACTCAGACCAGGATATATCATGTTATTGAACGAGTTTTGATAAAGAGTTGTTCGACATATTTCCATCACATAACTGAACGTTTACACACACACACACACACACACACACACACACACACACACACACACACACACACACACACACACACACACACACACACACACACACACACACACACACATTTCAAATGATATCTCATAAACCTTGAGACTTTGCATATGGACGAACCATTATTTTCGAAGTGCCCGTTAAAAATCCTTCTCTTAGAGTACCTGCACCCCCTCTTCAACCCTCTGATACCTTAAAGTATTACTGCGGATCACCCTGTATATATTTATCGACTAATATACAACTCAAACACCCTATATATTAGATTGAATCATTAGCTAGCGGGTAGCCTATATGCTGGTCACCTAGTCACGTGTCATCAATCCTTTGTCATCGGTCACACGTCAGCTGCCTAATCTCTCAAAAGTGGGTAGGTCGCCCTGTATATTTTTTGTCTGTTATCCATCTCAAACGCCCTGTATATATCATTAGCTAGCGGGTAGCCTATATGCTGGTAGTCTACTCGTCGGGGGGGTATAACGCTTTTTTGGTTTCACCCTGTATATTTTTTCCTAATCATCATTCAACTCAAACACCCTGTATATAGCCATTATTGATTGAAAAATGTAACGAAATGCGCGCCGTTATCTCTAGAACGGATCTCTCGCGTCGCTCGTTGGATGACCTTGAAAGGAACCAAAATCTGCAGAATGAACCTTAAAATTTCTTATGGAGATTTACATGGGAAAAGTGACGTTTTGATTCCCGTTCTCTTGTAGCTCCTTTACTGGGGTGAATAAAAAAAGATTCCTACCACATGGAAAGTATAGAGTATCGACAGTCTTGTCCTGATGCTACAGTACTAGAAAAATTTGGTATCGAAATTGAAAGATTAGACCCAAACATGTTCTAATAGATATTATAGCGTTGTCATTGTCGTAAAAGTGTCTTGCCCCTCGCTCAACTTACGCGCCTTGCGAATAAAAGTTTGAACATTGACGCACAGTTTACAGCGTTGCCATTTTTTAAAGCCATCTCTATCCAACTTATTTGAAACTTCAGAAGTATGTATGATTGTAAACAAATAGTGTTTTATGAATGAAATGTTCTGGCTCCCCTCTTTTTACATGTCTATTGTAGCAATCAATGCCTGGACTCGACTTGTACCTGGATTTTTGTATCTGAGCAGCCCGACGCTGGTCAAGATAGACCCGACGACCGAGCTCTTTCTCGCGATCTTCTCCAGTTCGGAGCCAGCGTTTTCGAGCTCCGAACACGTGTCGGCGGCGATCCTCGACAGCAAGTTCTCGTCGGGAAAGTTCAACGTGGACATGCTGTACAGCAGGTCGCCGGCCTCCTTCAAATTCAGCAGCTCCGAGCTGCCCGTTATGTTATACGCCAGCGATCGCAGCAACAGGATCGACCTTCTTTTTTTCGACGACAGTGCTGACATAACCTGAAAAAAAATGTTGCTTCCAGAATGACCTCATGGCTATACCGGGTGTTTCTTAAACGTGGCTCACCCCTATAACTTTTTTGTATCTAGAAATGAGGAAATGAAATTCAATGTCTGAGTATAGTATACAGGGTGTTTCATTGGGAAAGGTAAATAATTCAACTGTGGATAGAAAACAACATAAATGAGGATTTGAAGAAAATGGATGGATGGCTATACTACAATCTTCTTTCCCTTAATTCTAATAAGACCCAATACATAATTTTCCATCAAAGAAATAAACAAAATATTGATTTGAATATCAGAATAAAAAATGAAAGTTTGTAACAAACTGCCTATACCAAATACTATTTGGATTGATGAAAAGTTAACATGGGACAAGCGTATTGGCATGCTCAGAGAAAAAAATTCTCCCATTTTTGGTGCCCTAAGAAGATGTTCAAAACTTATCCCAAATATAGCAAATACCGTTCTATAGTCTCACATCCTTAGTAAAATGAACTATCTCATAAATATTTGGGGTTCATGTTCCAAGAATAATTTTAACAAAATATTTGTACTATATAAAAAAGCATTAATAGTTATTTATGCAACAAGTGCAAAAAGTGAATGTTTATTGCACTCGTTGCATACAACATTTTTTCTACGTTCATGCAAAAAGCAAAAAATGATTTATTGAGGTGCGACACTAGGTACAATTCTGTTAATTGTCAGAATTAATTTTTGACTGACGTTTCTATAACCACAGTTGCAATATAAAAAATGTTTGTCATGATGACTGGACGTTGAAGTAGAATGACAGATGAGTACAATAAAAACTTTATTAAGAACTTCTTTTTCCACTAAATATAGTTCAATAAAGTTCTGCTTTTTGCATGAATGTAGAAAAAAGTACTTTATGAAGAAAAAAATAAATTTTCTTTGGAAGAACACTCTCTGATAAGTACTATCAAAATTTCTTTCAATATTATCAACAGACACCTCGAATCTAACTTCATATTGGTAAGGAATTCTCAAATCCATGAACATCATACTAGACAATATCACCCAATTCAAAGTTAAAGTCAAGAAACATATCCTCTTGCAAAGACAAAATCAAACCTGAGTGAATGATTTCCCATTCACTAATTTATTTCATAATGTCATAATGTACTTTTCATGAGCTTTTTGTTTCATTATTATTTTTGAATCTGTTTATTTCAATAACTTAGATTTAATAACGCATGAATAATCTCATACCAGATATGAATCTGTCTGATTATTCATGTTATTTCATTGTAAATGTAAATAAACATATTTATATTTATTTCAAAAAAAACCATGGTTAATGAGTCTTCGACAACTTATAACCGAGATGCGAGATGTTTCATCAATTTTGCCCATATCTTTATTGTGTCATAACTTTTCAACCAACCAGTATACTCTTTTGAAAATTGGTACACTTACTCAATCTATCATGTCGAATTGATTGAGGCATCAACAAAAGATAGAATCCAGGTCCCGCTTCACTTAAAATTCACAATTTTTTTTCTGCCCAAAAACAACACCCTATATATTTGAATTCCTCAATTGTTTGGCCATATCTGAAAAGAGCATCAAAATTTTCATTCAACGATGTACTTTTTATTCATGCACAGACGATTTTTACTACTCATATCGAGACTCATATCATGTGCTCAAAATATTATTTTTGCTCATTTCGGGGTATCAAGTGAAATCAGAGGGGGATTTAATAATTTTATCACTTCCTATTCAGTCCACGTGAGTATTACGTTGAGGAAGAGTGTTTCATATCGTTCTTTGTATCCATCCAGACTATCAGAAATTATAGTTGCAGGTCCGCCATCAAAACTATACAGGGCTTTTCATGATGAGTATTAATTAGACGTTTTTGGCAAACCAGACAACGGATAAATCTGAAAATTCGATGGTATGTATCAATTGAAATAATCTACACGTCTGAAATATTTGAAACGATCCGGCCTTGCCGCTTCTACTAGAAAGTAGCAGCAACTTCGATTTTTCAAATGGGACACCCTGTATTTTATTACATTCTTGGATTCTTCCTGAAGAGCTGATTTCATCGATTCATAACATTCGGGGTCTAGCGGGACTGATAACTGACATATAGGATGTGAAAAATCAAGATGTTTCAACTTTAGAAATTTTTTGTGTTGAAACTATTTATTATTGCATGGTCAAAACGGCTTCCATGTCCCTATCTCAACTTTCCATTTACTATCGATTGATAATTGAAACAGATACAGGGTGGTGCAGAATTCTGAATTATGAACCACCCTGTTTTTGTTTGGACTAAATGTCAGTAGATAGTAAATATAAAGTTACGATACGGACATGAAAGCCGTTTTGATCAATAACAAATATTTTCGCCACAAAATATTTCAAAAGTAGAAACATCTCAATTCTTCACACTCTAAATATCTCAGTTATTATTGCCACAAAATCAGCTCTTCAAGAAGAATCCAGGGTGTCCCATTTGAAAAATCAAAGTTACTGCTACTTTCTAGTAGAAGTGGCAACGCCGGATCGTTAGAAGAGGCAACGCCGGATCGTTTCAAATATTTCAGACGTGTAGATCATGTTGATTTATACATACCTTCAGACACTTTCAGATTTATCCGTTGCATGGTTAGCCAGACACGTCTAATTAAAGCTCATCGTGAAAAGCCCTGTATAGTTTTGATTGCGGACCTGCAACTATATTTTCTAATAGTCTGGATGGATACAAAGAACGATATAAAACACTCCTCCTAAACGTAATACTCAAGTAGACTGAATTGGAAGTAATAAAATTAATAAATCTTGTCTGATTCCAATTTGTACCCCAAAATGAGCAAAAATAATATTTTGAGCACATAATATGAATAGTTAAAATCGTCTGTACATGAATAAATGCACATCGTTGAATTGACACTTTGATTCTCTTCTCAGATATGGCCAAATAATTAAGAAATTCAAATGTATAGGGTGTTGTTTTTGGGTAGAAAAAAATTTGTGAATGTTGAGTGAAGCCGGACCTGGATTCTATTTTTTGTTGATGCCTCAATCAATTTGACAGGATAGATTGAGTGAGTGTACCAATTTTCAAAAAAATATACAGGTTGGTTGGAAAGTTATGAGACAATGAAGATATGAGCAAAATTGATGAAACATCCCGTATCTCGGTTACAAGATTTTGAAGACCCATTAACCATGGGTTTTTTGAAATCACCTGAGTAACCCCTATCCACAGTTGAATTATTTACCTTTCCAAATGAAACACCCTGTATAAATATGCATTATTTGACGTATTCAATTGTTTTCTGTCACTTCCGGTTTGACCAGAAATTGTGGTTGAGTTGAGACAATCAAAATTATATTAATGTTACTTTGAGTTTATATCAGGTTGGCAGAACTACTAGAATTAGGTTGGTACCTTGAAAATTTTGACAGTGCTATTACGTCATTATTATAATCATCCTTCTTAATTGTCAAGTCAGTAGTTCGACATTTGGCCACGGTAGGAGAAACATGGCGTCTCCAGGCCAAAAGTCAGGTTAATGTGTGTGAAGTCCATAATTTTCTAATTACCTGATCTGGATTGAAATCCAATATTTGATGTGAAGTTTAATAAGTGTGTGTGAGAAATATCAGGCTCTTTTATCTCTACGCCGGTATAGAGGCCGGATGATGACGGATTCATCGGATAAGGGGACCATACTTGAAGTCAAACGTGCTTCATTTTTTCTACGCCGGTAAACAGGCCGGATCAGCAACGGATTTGCTGGATAAGAGGAGTACATACGATGAATCTTATGAACACTGATGACTGGGCTTCAGGCCATTGTGATAGACAATTGGTGTCTTATGTGGCGAGTCGAGTGAAAATATTATTACATAACCAAGTATTTATTCTTGACTATTCCACTCTTGATCTCGAGAACCAATCAGAATCGACCATTTTCACGGTTTCTTCTGTATTCTAGCGATATTTTTTGTTTATTAAATTCTATCGGACCTGCTCTACCAATACAGAAGCCGAATTGACCCACACGTGACCAACAAACCTCATTTATCAGCGATAAAATTTTGACATCGTGTCTGGTCAAGATTGCTTTGGATTCAAATCTGAGACAATAACCTAGGTACCTACTTCATTTTATTTACTTATAATTCGCGTTAGTGAGACATTTTGTACGAAAGGCGAGACAATTTTATTCTGGCTGGACATTTCATGTGTAATTTAAAAAGTTTGCATATTTGTTGACGGTCTGACACAATACTAGAATAAAAATTCCTTTTAAAAGTAATCTTCTTCAATCACTCAAGTTATTGTGACTAATATAATTACCAGATGATGTAGCTCAACTGATAGGGTTGTTGCGCGAAGATACGAAGGTCGATGGTTCGAGCCCCTCGGCGACGATATCTTTTTTTTAAATTATTTCATGTCACTTGAGAGCAACCATCTCCAAGATAATGAAAAAAATACTGTTTATCAAAACTGTACATTCCACTTTGTGAATATAACTATAATAAGTAGGTAGTTAATTTCTAAAGAATTGAATTCTGTATTTCATTACTATCATTATGTTCTTCTTCGCAGTTTGAGTTGGAATATACTTAAATTATGTTTCCTATTTCTTATATACAGGGTGTCTGTAAAAGGTCTTCACAAAAACATACCACATATTCCTTAGACCAACATAAGTCGATTCAAGTAAAATTACCTCAGTACAAAGTTGCATCGTTTAGGCTCCAAAGGGCCTTAAAGTTACAATTTTTAAATCGCTTTTCCATATAAACTTGAAACGGCATATGCGATTTTGCTGAAATTTGGTATATGTGGCAAAAGAAATGGTGTTAAAATTTTGTCCGATAATAATACATAGGCGTAGAACTTGATTTTTTAAATAATTGTACCTTTGAAAATTCTACGCCAATGGAAGAAAAGGAGTTTGAGTATGAAATTTAGATTGCGCAACTCATTTACTTCA